TCTTTCACTTCATGTCAAACTCAGGTCCTGCACCGAAGACCATGAACTTATGAAATAATCTTTATTGTCCACAAACAATGCATTTTCTAAACAAAACACCTGTTTAGCACTTGTAGTAAAATAAATAAATAAAACATTATATCTCTAATCTACAGAAAACTTGTATCACTACTCTTTCACTTCATGTCAAACTCAGGTCCTGCACCAGAGACCTGGAGTTTCAGGGATCYSTTCAGGATCTCAGCTGTCCTCACAAGTAACCAGAGATCTCTGAGGTTGTTCCTGGGATCTGTTGAAGTCACTCCTGTAGTTTGGGGGTCACAGCACCAAGTGCTCCAGTGACCACCTGGACTGTTGATACTTTGACTCCATAACTTCTTTTTTTTCCATCTTGGTATTTGTCCAGCTTCTCGTTCTTCTTCCTGGTGTTTCAGTCACTTRTGATCTGCTGCCTTCTTCTCTTGTTTACTGACCATCATGTCCAGCTGGTTAGCATCACCTSTTTGGTCTTGATCCAGGACTAAGATACATGGTCCATGTGGACCATGTATTTTAGGTGGCGTCTGTAGTCTATATGTTGCWTGAGTGTATAACTGGAGACACCTGTGCTTTAATTGTGTTTCAAACTTGTTACSTGTGCTAATCATTGTGAAACCCATGTGAATTACTGAGCAAAATGTGTTGTAGTGGGTGGAGGTAGGTCTGCATGTTGTGTCTAACTGGGTGTTCTGAAAAAAGGGTCATTTTAATAAATGGGTTCAGGGAACTGAGTGTTTGGTTTGGAGAACAGGGTTTAGTGTTTTAGCAACTGAGAAAAACTGTAAATGCAGGAAAGAAGTCGTGGAGATGATGCTGAGTCTCGTGAAGCTCAGAGTGATGATGAAGAAGCTCCGACTCTTCATCTCAGCTGTTGGATCCTGTATCTTCAGAGTGACAGGCGACTTTGTGACAAACCAGAGCTTTGTGTTGTTTGTGTTTTATTAAAAGCTGTTTCCACATGAATCTAAATRAAGTTATGATGAARTWAGAGCAGATAGATGGWCAGAKAACTGTGCTTACTGTGAGTTACAGGAGTGTCAGAAACAAACTTGTCTCCTAATCATGAGTTGGCAGTTTAGGTGAAGACCAGATGTTTGTGTTGATTGTGAGTACGTTTGTTCTTCCTCTTTTTGTTGTCATATAAAGATGGTGGATTTAAAACGGGACCAAAGCTGCAGGCTGAGGTTGAGCTGAAGAGAAGCTCAGTTTGTAGTAAGTTTAATACAAACTCTAATGTTCTTCATTGTTCTCTGTTTGTTTTAATATTTCTGTCTTCATCACAGAGGCTGAGCATCATCATCATCATCATCATCACCTGCAGCCATGAAGCTGGCCACGCTGCCGCTGCTTCTTTGTGTCCTGATGTTTCTGAGCGTCTCAGGTCAGTATTTCTACATTCTTTAATCATTTATTGATCAAACTGTTCAGATTGATCAGGAATATTGTCTTATGACTTTTAATCTTTTTAACTTTTAACTTTATTTACAAAAAACTTGTCACTGAAATGCATTGAAATCTTATTAGTTCCTTGAAAATCACCAACTTTTTCAGAAACTTAACCTCTTTTTTTTACTTTTAGCTCCAGTTTTGCTYTTTATAGCCATAATTTATCTTCTTTCAGCACCACCTTCTTTTAGATAAACTGTAATATCTGAAATCATGACATAAACAAATTCCAAATTCTCAYTGAGGCTCATAAAAGAGTTCATGTACGCTGGACTTTTGTGCAACTCTGCATTCTATACATGTTTTGTCTTTACAGAGGGATGGAGCTGGTTTTGCCCCCGWGGTTGGGCTTCATTCTCTGGTCGATGTTTCAAATACACTCCAACTCCTCTGACGTGGGCTCTAGCTGAGGTCAGATTAGTTTTTTTGTGTCCACTTTTCAAAAAGTAAAATAACTTTTTTTAATATGTTCTGTGTCTTTTTCAGAGGAACTGCTTGTCTGAGGGAGCAAATCTGGCGTCTGTGCGCAGTGTGGGGGAGTATCGAGCCATCCAGAGGTTTATCTTTCGTGTCACCCACAGATCAGAAAGTACCTGGATCGGAGGCTCTGACTCAGCTCAGGTTTCAGTTCCATTCAACTCTATTCAAATCGCTTTAAAAACTTTCAACAGAACATCAAAAGTAGCTGATGGATGAAAAAGGTGCTGTCATAGACATATATAGATAGATGTCAGGTGGCCTTTTCTCTCCGGACCACCAAGTGCCCCTGTCGAACCTTTTATTCCCCCACAGTGAACATGTGGCTCATGGTGCCACTTTTGTATTGAAAAGCTACAGATGCCCAAAAATACAATAACTATTTTTTTATATTTTTATTTCATGTCTGCAGCTTTATATTAGCACAATTTTAGCTCCGTAGTTCACATGAAGTCACCACAGATTAGATAATTAAAAACTGTTCTATTTTATTGGCAAAAGTCCCATTTTTTGTTTCTCTTTTATATTCTTAGTTTTTGGTGTTCTGTCCAAGGATGTCTGCTCCAAATACTTTTTTAAACAGAATATCACCTCCTCTGTTGAACACAAGTTTTACTGAATGCTRTTCTTGTATTGGGTGAGCTCAGGTTAGCTGTACTGTTTGGATCAGTGCCGTACTCCTGATAAACCCAGGATGTACCGCCCTGTGACTGTAAAGTAAAAAGCTGAGAATGAATCACTGAAAACATTTTAAATTCAAATTAAAATGGTTGAAATAGCTGAAAAACACACAGAACAATATATTACAAGCTGAGTACATAAGCAATCTGCCCTGTTAATGAAAAGGGAATGAAATATGCACCGGCCGCACGTGTGTATAAGAATTTGTTAACTTTTTTTTTCAGTAATATTGACAGGAAGTGGCCAGTGGCTTGGGTCAAGTTTTTATTTTTTCCCCTGCTGGGTTATAGTGGTGGAGCTAGGATATTTTTGGAGCACAGGTCCAACAAGGGGCCACTATATGCATAGAGGGGCCAATTATTTGTTCAACAGCCTTCCACACAAATCCCCAGTTTTCATAGGGTGTGTAAATTTAAACAGTTACACATGTTCAAACACCTGGAATGTCATGTAATTTAAAAATCCTGATCAATAAATTGTCTTTAACAGTTTTACATATTGTTTTACAATATATAGATAAAATACTTTCAAACACACAACATTTTGGAAAATCCAGTCACCGTTTGTCACCTTTTCTGCAGAATTGTTCAAATCTTTTTAAGAAGTTGATGATGAACTTTCCTGTTTGACTCATGAGCGCCTCTGGTGTTTGAACATGGAACTGCATCCATCATCATTGGAGAAAAGGACAGATGAGTGACAGGACAAGAGCACTTCAGGGCCCAATCAGATTTCAGCTGGGGCCAATGCCCCTGTAGCCCCGCCCCTAGAACCGCATCTGCAGAAAAATAAAAAAACAAAGCTCTTTGAAAATAAAGGGAAAGATGGAGGAAAAAGAACAAGAAAGMCTTGAGCAATTTTGTGTAAAAACTTAATTATATATAAATATTTTATAGACAATAAAGTATGCACAAATTGTCATTRCTGCTATTTTTTCTGCCAATTTGTTACAGAAACTAAGGGAGTTATTTGGAGAAGGTTTTTAATTGTTTTTGTTTGTTTGTTTGTCGTCTTCCAGGAGCGTATGTGGCTCTGGAGTGATGGGAAACCCATGAAATACACAAACTGGTGCCCACATGAACCCAATAATGTTGGACAAAAGGAGCACTGCTTGGAAATGAATCATGCAGGTCATTTTTTTATTGATAATTTATTTAATTCCCACTTTTGTCTGAATATTTCACACTGGATAGAAACCATTAACTTGGTTAAAACAAAATAATTAACTTGACGCTAACTTTGCAAAGCTTTAAGTTTTTATTATAAATATTATTGTTTGCAACTCTAAAAAAAAAAAGTCACATTTTTCATATTTGCAGGCAGGAAGTGTTGGAACGACCTGCCCTGTGCCAGACGCCTCCCATCTGTCTGCACCAAGAAGAGAAGTTTCTGGCACCGCTTCAGAGGCTGAAGCAGATCTGTTTACATCCTCATTTCTTCCTGCTGCTTTAGACGTTACAGAACCAGGAGCTGAAGTTACTTATTGCATCTTTAAAAGAAATATATTAAAAAAACAGCTCAGCTTTAACTCCTGCAAACTGAACTCTTCCTGTGCTTTAACTGATTAAACGCCAAGCATTGAAACAGACTGGTCTGAGTGAGTTTGTTCTTTATCTGATGGTTTTACTGGTATAATTACTGTTTTCATGGCAGGTCAGGAAAGTCGTGTAAAATAAATGTTTTTTAAAGGTCCAGATTTAGATAAATAATTTTATTATATCATAACATCACCTCCTGCAGCTGCTGCTGTTGTTTGTGATGAGAAATTTCCACTGATGAGACTGAACCAGATCTACCAGATATTTTCATTTCTTGGTTCTCATTGATGCCATTATGACGGACGACTGGAACAAGTTCAACAACTTGTGTATTTATTTTAAAAAGCACAGATCCAGTGTTAAATAAGCTAAGTATCTGATTAGTTTTTCTTTGTTAACTTGACAGGTGATAGTTATTAACAGTTTCCTGAATAAATGATCATATAAGTGAGGAAACGTTGTTTGAATAAAGTTGTTTACTGCAGGTTTTCTGTCACTGATGAGTGACAGATGTTTAAATGYGCCTACATAACTTTCACAGGTGGTTGCAACACTCAACGCATCATGTCCTCACGTCACACCTGGTTGTCAAAGGAATGTGGGAAATCCCCAAACTCTGAGGTCTGATTGCAAAGAAAATACGTTTTTTTTTCTTATTATTGTTAAGATTTTAAAAGTACAACAGTGAAGAAACTTATAAAGAAGTCACGGTTGTAATACTTTGTTCATTTATTTAGTTATTTTTCGTTCAACAATCAGTTCGTAATGAAGCAGTGGGCTGTGAAGAGCACATTCCGAGTTAACCTGAACGCACCACATGAAGCCACGCCCAGAACAGTTTTTGTGAATGAATTTTCCTGCTCAGACTTATTTYCGGTTGTTTGACTGACACGGTTTTGTTTAAAGAGCTGCTGCTGCTCACGAATGTGATTGTTTCTATCTAACTTTAACTTTTTATATATATATTTATTTGTTTATTTATTTATTTATTTATTTCGGAAGCAGAGAAAAATGAGTTTTTATCATCTGGTGATGAATTATTTTCTTCTCGGAGTTCTGCTGTCGGTTAAAGGTGAGTAGGAAGTAAAACAAATAAATAAACTTGACCTGGTTTCAGGCCTGCTTCACAACATGTTTACAGAATCATTTGTTTATAAAAGGTTGGGTTTGGAATCAAAGTCAAACTACTTGTTGACAAAGTAAACTCATCAAATCAGATTTAAAATGAGGTTAATCATTTCTGAGCCGAATCAAACTCAGTAAAGCTGCCAAAACCCACACATGTTTGCTTAACGGAAAAGTAAACTTTAAACAAGTTATTTAGAGGAAAATAGAGTTTTGTTACAAACTAACATCAGGTTTAGAGATGTCCTGATGCATCTCAGTAATCCAGGTAAAAAAWYMAAAAAGAAAAAAATTGTAAAGTTCTTCTGGACGGGTTCTTCTYTAATGAAACGTTTCGTCTCTCCTCCAAGAGACTTCTTCAGTCTGAGAGTTTCAGGCAAAATTCAGGCTTTTAAGCCCTGCCTCCATGTGACTGATACTCACATCACATGGCTACCGTTGACACCTAATTAACACTTATTGTAAACAGGTGGTGGAGTGATACTGGCAATGGCCGCGCTGTAGGAGGGGGACAACTGAAAACGGAGGCCYCCACTTCTGTTTAATGATGGACGGTCTTTCTTTACAAAAATGTCTTCTTTTACTCCTCTCTCAAACCAACGTTCCTCCCTATCAAGAATGAGAACATCYTCATCTCTGAAAGAGTGACCGCTGGCCTGTAAATGAGTGAAAACTGCAGAGTTCTGGCCATTAGATGTAGCTCGTCTGTGTTGGGACATTCTTTTGAACAKTGGCTGCTTTGTTTCCCCGATGTATAACTGGTCGCAGTCCTCCTGGCACTTAACAGCATATYAGCGTTAGGTTTAGTGAGTTCACGATGAGTCAGGTGATGAGTTTAAAGTGAGTTTTAAAACGTGGATGTTGAACGGAGTGTAGCGCAGAGGCGTCGACGTTGCAGAGAARCAAAAATAAGTGAGCCTTGGAGTTTCTTCAGCCTCTTTGTAGGCGTATTTATGAGGCGCCAAAAAATGCAAAGAAAACACTGCGTCTCTGTGACGTAGTCACGTATACACCACAAGCATCTTACCACAACACAACACTAGGTGGCAGTGCTGGAACAAATATTGAGTAAGAGCGTCTACAACATCAAAGTTTAACAGTTGATTTAGTTTGTTTTTGTTGTAAATTATTTTATAATATCAGACACGTGTATGTTTTTATTTAGATTTCATACTGTCTGCATGGTCAATCTGTATTGTCTTTAAAACATAACTCCACCTCTCCACACTCTCTTCCACCTACTCCAGTWTCAGTATATTGTCAGGAATCATCCCAATCTATTAATTTGTGTATTTTATAATATAAATATAGTGTGGTARTATATAAGGGGTCTCCCATCCTGTTCCTGCATGTTGTACATGTTTCCCTGCTTCAACGCACTCTTCATGACATTAAACTTTATCAGATGACATTCAGGTAATTCAATGATTTGAAGCAGGGAAACAGCTAAGACTTGTATAGACACTCTGATCAAACTTATGTTAAAGCTGTTTTTCCCCTTTTTTTATTTTTTACACGTAAGGCTCTACGTACCGATTCCACAACAGTTTAGTTTTTCTAATGGACCACCCATTCAGGATTTAGAGTTTATCAAAGGTTGAAAATTAGGAAGCAAGTGCTGCATTTACTTCCATTACACCATAAAACAACCGCAGACCCCTGAAGGCATTAGTGTGCATCACAATTGTGCAACAATTTTTCTAACCAAAACAGAAAACAAACTAGATAAAACATTTGCATAGATTTTGAAATGATCTGGGGTCCAAGCATTAAAAGTGTGACTAAAGATCACAAAAGCCTGACCCACACACTGCCAAGGTCTATGGATGTGGATACATTTTTAATCCTACACCAAAATTTAATCTGACAGCGGACTCCAAAAGAACATTTCAAACCATAAAAATAAAACCAAAATCMTGTGATTATCTGAAGTCTGAGGGAAGTTATTGATGTTTGTTTAGGTGAAATCAGCTCATGTTTTCTTGTTCACAGCAGAAMCAATGTGATCATTTCACCTTGTTGTCTATTTTTGCTCATAACTTCCTCAKTGTTCACGATATCGCCATGAAATGTTMGGAAAAGATTCCCATTCTGGTTTTGTAGGAAGCATCTTGTATCCTAAAAACTAATAAAACTTAATAATAGCCAATTCAAAAGTAGCAGAAAAGGTATAAAATACTAGAAAATTTCTGAAAAAATTTAAAAGGGGCTTGCCCAAGTGTGCCTAAGTTGAAACCCAAACTTGACCTAGGAAAACCAGAAACCCCTAAGAACTGTCTAATTGCGCCCTCTGCTGGTCTGGGCGTCTGAAAGTCAGGACGTGTGCAGCGGTCGGTTTTTCATGAATTTCTCCGCTGTAGTAATTGGAATCAAAAAGTTTTTGAATGGCACACATCTCCACTCCAAGACGGTCATTTTGATATAAGCTTTGGGGGTGTACATGCTCCGGTTCGAGCCACATTAAAGGTGATAGAAGAAGAATAAAGAAATAAGGGTGTAGAGTAATGGATTTGCCATTGCATGGCAAGCCCCAATTACAAGGCAAACTGCAGCATCAAATCAACTTAATGTGTCTTAGAAAGTAAGGAAATTAAAACAATTTAAAAACCATGTGGACATGTGTTTTGTAAACAAAGCTCATCAACCAATGACAGCGTGTTAAATGTGTCAGGTGACGAAGACGAGCGTCAAAACACTTTGCAACAAGCGCTGTTCTGGATTAAAAAAACATAACTTCAACGTTTCAAATCATTATCAAATTTGGAACAAGGACAGATAAAATAATGTTCTTCATAGCAGCTTATCTCTTTAAGGTTCACTAGAAAAACTCGGGTGATTTACTTTGATCCTCTTTTCAAAAAAATTGTCTCTTCAAAACGCATCAGCTGCTGACGACATGTCAACATCCCTACATAAAACAACCACCAAATCAGTGAACAAGTAACTAAACTTGCAATACAAAGAACACAAACATTCCTTAGAGGCATTTCAGTCCTAAAGCATAAGATATGGACATGTACTGTGTCACATATGCAAGGCTTTTGACTCAAATAAATAATGCTAAGTGGCTACATAGCTAGCAGTTAGCTTCTGCCATGAGGGCCAAAAAGGAGCCTCACATGGTTATAAACTTCACAACTTAAATGAACAAAATATGGGGCTTAAACACAACAAATATAGAGCAAAAATAAATTCACTCACCCTCAATGGACGCACACTACAACCACCGATTAATGAGGTCTCCACCATTTTGATTTGACTCTGAACACGTGTGCGGTATTATTTAGTCTTTGGG